AAAATTAATAAACGTGAGATACTGACTCTATAAATATAAATATAATCACAATACAATTGATATGGGATATTATACGCCTAAAGAATATACCGGTTTGCTGGGCCGGTCGTACAAGCCCAATATTGGAAAGGCTACCTCAGTCGAGCAATAGCGGACTGAAAGGAGGTGGTCGAGCATCGGAGCAGACCTGGTCGAAGATCGACCTACCAGAGGAGAACTCATTTGATCGACCACTCGATAAGTGAAGAGCAATCGAGGGCGCTGCTTGAACGCGAGAAAGCGCGTGGACTTCGCCAGAAAATCCCAAAGGAATATTCAGGAGAATAATCATACTCTGCTCAGAGGGGCACGTGGCGAGAGTACATTAGTGCAGAGCGATAGTGGCGATAACCACCTCTGACACCTCTAACACACGCATACTGTGTGTGTACGGACCGGCAGCGCTAGGAGGACATCTCATCAGATCCAGGCAGCTCCTAGGGCAGGTATCTCACTTCTATATATATAGGAGTGAGCCTTTCTTGTTACTTACGATTTATCCATTTTCTTTCTTTGGAGAATTGAGTGAAACACATATTTACTTAAGCATCGGAGGCTCTTCACCGGAAAAACCTCCGGTGTGAGAGCTCTTTGCAGGTACGCGGCGTTCTACCGGCGAGGAGGAGGAAGACGAGCCGATTTCAAGCCGGTCGGAGTGTTTTGCGTTACCAACAATAAAGTTTGTTTTGTTTAAAAAAATGAATCAAATATATGATGTTATAAATAATATAAGTTTTATATATAATTCTAAGAATATAATTAAAAATATTTTTTTTAGTAAATTTATTGTAAAAATACGGGCACCATTTGAATTGATTATCACGTTGTTAATTATTTATTATTGTTGCATATTCATCATACATAATTTCACATAAAACTGTAAATTATTTTAGTTTTTATTATACAAATATTAATATATTTAAATACCCGTGTAGTACACGGGTGTTGTATTAGTTATAATAATTCTCTTAATGTAACTGAGAAAATGCTTATGGTTTAAGTCGACCAGACGGCTCGTTCGACCTATTCGACTGGTTTATTCCCTTAAGTATGGTATTCCATATCACCCTCCATTTTTCTTTTTTCACCAATTCACTAAACTAAACACTTATGTGGCACTGCTAGAACTGAACTTTTCTGAGATCAAGAATCCTACAAATTCTGGCGTCGGTTCTATCAAACTCTAGTGATTCTTTATTATCATACCAATGCTTGTTATGAGTATGTACTTCATCCTCTAAATCGTTTTTGGGTCTTGCCTTATAACATTTCTGTTGATTCTTCATTTATTTTTATTTTTTTCTTCTCATGGGTTTGTATTACTTATGCAAATATAATGTCAAATTTCGATCAAGCAACATGTTTTTCACACGACAATGTCAACCATAATGTTATTTCATCCGACTCGAGTCTGTCTGTAGCCATAATTCCGATTCAAAACACCCCAACCTTAGCCATTAGGCCGCCTCATTGTTTTAGTAGATGAGAATGAGGAGAGGTTTCCTGGAATGAACTTGTGACCATAATGGACACATATTCTTAGTAGGTTGAGTGTCTTCCCCCATCTAAGGGGTCCCTATAAAGCGCAACAAACAATGAGAGGGTTGATAGTGCTAAACCCAGCGCAAATGGCCCCGAATCTCACCCGTGCCTTCTCTAGAATGAGAAATGATATTTCTGCATTTTCCTTTGGCAGTCTCAAGTAGAGCGTGTGAGTCCACCTCATGGGAGCCTGACGACTGGGAGCAACGATTTTTTGTGTGAGTTTAGGGTGAGTTGGTTTTGGATGAATTATAAAAGAATGGTGTTGAAGAATTTCAGTAAAGAGGTCTAAACCTTTGATAAAAATAGGATGGGTAAAAATTTGGTTTATACTTCTGGAGGGCAAGGTGTGATTACGTGATTGTTGGTGTTCTTACCATCACTGGAATTATGGGATGACGACATGGTGATGTCTGTAAAGATAACATTACAAACAAAGTACTAATGCGAATAGAGATTCACCAAAATTTGTGTTGAGTCCCCTTTATCTAGCGCCAAGTCGTTGATGTAAAAAATAAACAACAAAGGTTCTAGTAGACATGAGATGTATTTTAATGAAATTTTGTGGAGATATAAAATTGCGCTTGAACAATAAATATGAGCATACACTCAATTGCGGAAGCAGTTCATGCAAAACATGAACCTTCAGCATCCCACTATCCCTTAGAACTCTTTCATTCAAGTAAGTATTCAACCAATACAACTAGGGTTTGCATCAAAGACTCCCTCTTCCTAACCTACATCGTATACACTTATCTAACTACTTTTTCGGCCACTCCTAGTGGACTTAAACTCTACACGGATCCCTCCATGCAATCGAAAGATGCTCGTCCCGAGCATCTTAAAAAATTGATCAAACTATCTATATCAAATTAAAGAGCAACCTCAAATATGAACAGTCACTCAAACAAAATAATAAACTAAACAGAGTACTCCCACAAATGACTCTCGCACACTCTTTACAAAAAACTATTACAAGACCTTTCGACTAAAATGTTTGCAACACTTTTGTTGTCGATCGGCATCGGTCAACGGTTAAAATAAAATTTAAAGATAATAAATACGAGAGTAAGAAGGGATTTATGAAGCTAATGAGCTCTATTGCTTTTATAGTGAGGTGGGCCTCCAATAGTTAGGTCGGCTTCCTTCTTACAGTTTATCACGATAGTTTATTACAAGAGAGAATATATATATATATATATATATATATATATATATATATATATATATATAGAGAGAGAGAGAGAGAGAGAGAGAGAGAGTTGGTAGAGGACTCAACAACCCCTAAATGAGGGGGTCTTCCTATTTATAGTAACACAAATCTGGTACTATTCATTCACATTTTACCCTGTCACGTCATACAGTAACTAGGAATGACAGGTCGGCACCATTCTGACGAGCATTAAATGAGGTCTGAGGTTGATCCAATGATTACCTGTCAAAAATTAAATGCACACATGTGGGCATTTAATACTAACAGACCGGCCTACGAACGTAGGTGTGCTAGGATGGCAGACTAGGGTGGCGCGTCCCATCAGCAATCATCACTTGACAAGTGGCAATATTTATGATTTTCAGGTTCCGTGTGCGTGCCGGGGGCCGGCCTTGTCGAATTCAGGTTGGACTTCTTCCATAACTTGCCATTGACTTCTGCTTTTCGGGGTCTCCCATCTTGATAATGCGGTTTTGAAGGTCGACCTCGTCCTCTGGGTCCTCAGGTGTCGTTCTGAGAATCTGCCCTACGCAACATTCTCAATAACTTTATTCTTCGTTCAGTCTGGACTTCCTGCTACTCGAACGCCGATCTGGTTTTGTGATCGTCTTCGTCCGGATTACAGTTCTTGCCCCGTGGGTCCCTCGTGGCCCAACTCGGATATCAACAACTCTATACTGCAATACATATGTTAAGTTTATTCTTCAATTACTTCCCATAAATAATGACGCCCTATTTTTCTTCTTCTCACTATTTTGCGCATCTGGCTCCCCCATATATGGTAAGGTATTTGTTAATCAACATATATGCTTTATTCACAGCCTTGCATAACAAGTTATCTTGTCTTCTATGAATAGTAAGTCCATCTTGATTCCACGTTCAACTCCAATCACAGAATTACATTGCCTACAAAGTAAGAAAAACATTAGCCCGTATTTTCATAATCAATTATAATAATAAATAAATAATATCAGGTCAACTTTTCTTGGACCTTTCAGAGATTGTCTTCTAAGATTGACTTACGAATTTAGAATTTTCGATTTACTGTCAAAATACATATAATTCAATTTAGATTAATAAGCCAAAAAATGTGATAAAATTAATGCTTTTTGCACGTGTTTTCTATTTTCTAATGTATTTTTTGATATTTTTCATACTGATTATTGTAAGGCTAATATAAGGCTAATATGTCGAGTATGTACATATATTTGGTAAAACTAGTTGATAAGTTAGTTGATAAGTGCCAAGAAGGTATATAGGATAAGACATAAACATTTGGATAAGATCATTTGCTCAATAGTTCATGTCTTTGTTTTCAATTTCCAATTTATGTAAAAGATTTAACACCACTCAAGACTATTGACTTCTTATTTTCCATGCACAAAAATCAAAGGTCCGAAATTAAAACAAAAAAGAAAAGAAACAAGAAAAAAGAGAGAAAAACCATCCACCCTCTTTCTTCTCCTTAATTCTAGTTGTCGACAAACTACAACCACCTCAGAAGCTAAACAATGGCCATTGATCATCACCTCAAATGCAAACTCACTTTACAATATATACGCCCCACGACACAAAACCTTCCTCGCAATTCANAGAAAAGAAAGAGAGAGAAAAAAATTCTTCCAACGTTCTTGGTTCTTTCTTTCTTAATTTCGCTTCCTCTCTCGTTCTCTGCCGCCACCACATCCATCAGAATTGTCCTTTTCCCTGTTCACATTTTATTCTTCTGTTCGGTTGATGGTGGCCGAGTTTCAGACAGATTTGAGTTATATCTGATATCATGTAAAACTGAGATCAGAAATTGAATTTGGAGGAGAAAAATAGAGAGAAAGAGAGATAGGGAACCATTAAAAACCATGGAAATTGCTAGAATTAGGGAATTATTACTCCTCTGGTGTAGAAGTCGAAGCAATCGTGTTGCTCTCGTGGGTGGAAATCACACCGCCGCCAGATTCTGCACTCGCTAAAACTATCCCAATTCCCCGCTTCTTTATTTTTTTATTTTTTTTCAAATAATTTTTTTTGTTCTTTCTGTTTTCGCTTTCAGAAATTGCGTTTTTGTTTTGTCATTTTGCTTTATCTCTCTCCCCCCTGTCGCAGCTGATTTTCTTCTAATCATTTAGAGCCAAATTTGGGGCTAGGTAGTTAGGGTTTCCCCATTCTCATATTGAAGGTAAAATAAAATCAATCCATCTCACTCACCAAGATGGATAAAGCCGGCTTCGAAACCCGGCCCAACAAAATCGGGCAGGACCCGATAGTTGCCCCCGACGCCGGCCACACCACCGTCTTCCAGATCCCGATTCTGCTGCCATCAGATTCTCGGGCCGTTCGCATCCTCTCGAAATCTCTGCTATTCGCCATGTTCCTCCTCTCCTTTCCCTCCATCTACACCCTCATCAAGCGGGCCTCCTCGCACGAGCCCGAGAACTCCAACAATACCTTCAAACTCCTACCCATCTTGCTCCGAAACCTAATGGAAGAAGGCCTCATCAAGAACGGCCAAACGGGCCTCGCCTTGGGCGGCCCGCACAACCTCGACAACAACGATCTCGACTTTCTCAAAGACGCCGGCATCGACCTCCTCTCCGGGGCGGCGGTCGATTCTCCACAAGCTCGGGCATTCGATTTCGTGTTGGTCCCGAGTTTCGGGCAGGTGGGCCTCGCGGATAGGCTCGTCCGCGAAAACGGGCTCGTCGTGTCGTCCCTGGGCCGGGACCCGCCCGCGGGCCTGCGCCTGCTGAGCAACTACCGGATCGTGTACCTGAGGCGGCTGGAGAGCACGGTTGTGGGCCTGAGGAGGAGCGGGGGGCCCGCGAAGGGCCCGGTTTGCGGGGCGACTTCTTCGGAGGAGAAGAGGGAGGCGCTGAAGGGGTTGGAGGACGTGTACTTGGAGCCGGTGCCGAGACGGGCGGCGGGGAGGAAGATGAGGTTCTTGCCGGAGCTGGTGAAGGAGTCGCTGGCAGAGTACCCGAGGAGGGTTTTTGTGTCAGGGGATGATTCGGGGGCGGTGGAGTGGTTTTATGGGAACTACCCGACGCAGGGTCAGGAGTTCGAGGTTTATAATAGTATGGAGGAGATGGAAGTGAAGATGGAGGATTATGTGGTGATGAAGGCGGAGGCGGGGGTGGTGGAGGAGATGCTGAGGGAGAAGAGGCTGTGTTTGGTGGATGAGTTGTTTTTGGAGTGCAGGAATCAGTGGGTGGACGGGGCGGGGGAGAAGAGGGCTTATTGGGAGTGTCTGAGTTTGTATGGGAAAGTGAGGGATGAGGGGATTGCTGTGCACCAGTGGTGGGATTAATTAATTAATTCATTCAATAAGGAAATGGAGGGAGGGAGGGGAAGTGTCTTTCTCTAGCTTTCATTTGCATTTTTTTCTTTCTTTCTTTCTTCTTGTTTGTTTATTTCTTTTGATTTATCATTATTTATTTTTTTGTTTTTTCATTCATCTGTGTTGGGTTGTGGTCCTGACGATAGAGATATTATATAATTAAAAATTACATAAAGTGCGCAAAGAAAGCAGCCAAAAGCTGAAAAGTACAATTAAAGGCTGAATAAAATTGAGAGGACAGATCCGAAGATCGCTAAGAGCCTAAGCTAGCAACGCTAAAAAACAAACTCGCAACTACCCAAACGCAACTACACCAACACAATGAAAACTATGAAAACTACGAAAATCCCAATAGGATAATGCCCGAGTGTACGATCTCAACAGGATAATAAGTCCACACTCGAGTTTACAGAGGCCAACGGCCCAAACAGAAAACACAAGTCCTAACAACACAAATTCAAACGACACAAAACGAAAGAAAACAAATACCCACATTCAAAGCCCTTCCCCAGCAAACAAACGGGCCCTGCCAGCAGAGAAACAATCAATCTGGAAGATCCCAACGCCCAGGCACGGCTACCGAAACTGCGAACCCGCCTATACAACAGCCGAACCCGTGTGTGAAGTATGTGTGGGGAAATGGGGGAGAATTTAGAGCATATACTATTCAATTGTAGGAGAGTTGTGAATTGCTGAAAGCTTAGTGGTGTGCAGTGGGCACAGTTTAGTAGAAAATACTGGTCTTTTCAGGATTGGTGGGAGGATTTATGTTTGGGAAAGGGGGAGGTTGTTTTCAGGATAGATTTAATCCCTCCACATACCTATTATGGTGGTTGTGGAGAACTAAGAATTCTTGGGTCTTTAATAAAACCAGAAGCAGGGATAAGGATGTGGTTGATGGAGCATGGAAGGAGTGGAGGGAATTTGAAGAAGTTACAGAGGGTAGCAAAGGGAGAGGAAGAGCTCAGCACATCTGGGAGGGGGTAGGACAGTTAGTGTTAACTGTCCGTGCTTCATTATTCCCAGATGAGAGAGTTGGTTTTGGAGCTTTGGTGGAGAATGACAGAGGTATGCAGTTCTGCTGGAAGGAATGTTCAGATAAAGCCACAGATGCAGAAGAAGCTCTACTCAAAGCTGTGAGATGGGGATTGATGAAAGTGCAAGAATCTAGGGCTATCCAATCCATATGTTGCTGTGTGGATTCTCATACAATTGCTAAAGTTCTGAATCAAATGGAATACACACATGAAGCAGGGATGGCCATTGTGGCTGATATTAAAAACATTACTGCAGCCTTTGTAAATTGCTCCTTTGTGTTTGCTAAAGTAGCTTGTTTTACTTCTTTTTGTTTAGCCTTTGCGGCTTTTCAGGGGGATTAATGATAATCTCTCATTGCTTGTGGTAATTCTATTGTTAGAGTTGCTAGTAAGTTTGGACCTAGTTAGGTGCTCGTATTGTATGAATCTTGAGTTTGAGTTTTACATATTGGTTGGTTGTTGTTTGGAAAAAAAAAGTAAGGAAAAAATAATTTATACTATTTTCTGTTAGTGGCAGGAAAGTTATAAATTGTATATTGCGTTTCAATTCTTACAATTTAAACTTAAAAATATAAAATAAATATAATATGAAAGTGGAAACAATCAATTGAGGCGAGTGTTGCTCTTTCCGTAAGACAAATACGCCCCATAATTTGCTGACGGATTCAGACATCTCGTCTCCAAAGATACAACGACTACATCTTAAAAGTTGTAGCACTTCAAACTTCCGAACTCCGACGAACTTGAACAGACCCAAACATTGAGCAGTATGTATATGCATGAGACTAGAGAGAATGCAAGGATGCAGATGAGATTGTATGTTTTTGCAGCTCTACCATGTCTTATTTATATGACTTCCAGCAAGTAAGGGATGATCTCTAAACTTCAGCCACTTAAGACAAGTAACAACCGACATCTACAATGATTTGAGTTCATTCAGAAAAATATAAAGGCCACGTAGGAAATAGACTTAGTCTAGAAAAATATATACTCCAATTCAAGTACATGTGGACTGGGTCCTGCTGATGTCGCACCAAAAAAATGAGACCCGATCTACTCTGAAGTCTATTGTAGAGCCAAGTAGAGACGTAGTCTCTTTACACTGGAGTTTTTTCGGGAACGATAAAGATTTTATAAGACGCACAAAAGTGCAACAGAAAACCAGCCAAAAGCTGAAAGATACACCCAAAGGCTGAAAAACTGAGAAGACAGATCCGAAAATCGCCTAGAGCCTACACTAGCGACACTAGATTAACACACTCACAACACAACACAATAAACACTATAAAGCACCCAAATAGAAGAATCACCGACCCCGTAGGGATAATACGTGCTCTCACTCGGGCACAAATAGAGGCCAACGGCCCAAACCAAAAATACAAACCCTGTCAGACAAAACAAACAAACAAACACATCTAAACGAAATAAAAACACAACAAAATTAAACCTCACAAAAATAACCTACAAACACTTACTAAAAAAAAAATTAGAAACACCCTTCCCCCAACAAATGAACCACCCAAGTCGATAATGGCGACGCCAACAGGTGCCCATGTATGCGGACCGAGCCACAACCTTGGAAGCAGACCCAGAAACTACCACTAACACCTAACTGGACCAACACCGAAGGACACACCCAAATCCAGAAAGCAACCCAGACCCGTACCTGGGAACCACCCATCACCCTCCACCGCCAAAGACAAAACCTCCGATCCAGATCACCAGAGCCTAGATCTCGGCCCGACTTCGCCGGTTATCCCTTCCGACCAGCACCAGAGCCGGACGGGACATGCAAAGGGACGGGCATAAGACACCACCCTGATTTCCGACAAAAGAGAATCGAAGTCGCTACCTCCTTTCGATAAAAACGCCTGTAGGCCTTCTCAATAAAGCCAGCAAGAAAACGGCACCCTGCCTCGCCGTCGTAGCAACCAGAAGTCGACGAGATCTAGTTGGGGGACGGGCGCAACTCCACCTCTTGACGATCCACCACGAATAGGTTTTATAAATAAACGCACAAATGTGCAAAGTTACAACCACTAGCTGAATAATACAACCGACGACTGAGAAAACTTGGAGGATAGGTCCGAAAAGCGCCTAAATATGAAAACTAGCAATGCTAGAATACTCGGCAACACACTAGAAAACAAACACACTAAAAAAACTAAAAGCTCCCAAGAGGAGAATGAGAGAAAACGGCCCCAATAGAGTAATGCTCACTCACTACTCGGGCAACACAGGGGCCAACGGCCAAACCAAAAACACAATACAAAACTACAAAACACATGACTAACACAGATAAACTGAAACACCAAAATAAAATAAAACTAACAACAACTAAAAGAACTAAGCCCTCCCTCGGCAGAACATCCGAAATGAGCAGCAAACAAAGGCCGATTCCATGGAGAGAACTGAAGCACAGGACCCACGCCCGCCACTGCCTATTGCCTAGCAAAGACGAGGACTCGCGTCCCGAAACGGTCAGGTGTTGTCAACTATCCAGATATAATGTATCTTAAAGGGGTCCCACATGGATTGAGTCAAAACTCGAGTCCAAACCCAACTTGATTTGGATTTTACTTAATTTTACAAATAAATTGGCTAAAGTACACGGACGGACCACGTTAAAACTTTATATGATATATATTTGCTAAACTTTTTCAATTACCAACCTTGGACTTTTCACCTTATTAAATACCAAAGTTACGTTCCTAATTAGTTATAAAAAGAAATTAATAAGATATTAACATCTCCTCAATCATATTTTTATATCCATAAGTTACGAAAAAGATTAATTTGAGTATTGGTTTAACAACAGTTTATTGTTGATTTATTTGTTGTTTAATTGTTCTTTATTCTTATGAATTATAATATTTATCTAATTGTTGTATTCATCATGTATTTGTTACTATAAATACAAGATGAGTAATAAAACATAAACATGATTTATATTACTTTTATTTGTCAGTGAAGTAAAACTAAAGTTCTGTAGTCAAGTAACGACAACATTGTTGGAGACCTTATTTGTCCCTAATGTAAAACTAAGGTTTATATTATGATTATATTAAGTAAACATGGATTAGTTCACATTCATCAGAACAAGTTAAACATCAAATTCAATACAACACAAAAATCAATTAATTCAATCATGAATTCTGAATTTAAATTCAAAAGTTAGAAATTGTTCCAATAATAATATTAAAAGATTTAACCAACCCAAGCAAAAATACACAGCCTTTCAATTCCTTTCACTTTCGTTGGGGTCTTGTACGCGTGCAGCTACCGAGGACTTCCCAATTTGAACATAACCCAATAATCATGGAGTTGCATAGAACAGTATCATCCTTCACACGAAATCTCTCGAACAGTTGAACTGCATCACTCGTGAACTCGAATTTTGAATATTTATGCAACAAAGCACTACCTCTGAAACCACATTAGACAGCCAAATTTTGCAAAAGAATCCAAAAGCTTCGTTAGGCACGCCATCGCCGATTAATCCGCTATGAAGGAATCGTAAACGAACACGTTGTGAACACCGGCCGGCGTGTGAAAGACAGGGATATTCGTCGGCGACGCCGCTGCACTTGGAATATATACTGATGAGGCTGGTGGCAGAAAGAGGGGAAGAGAGGTGGCCGATGCCGAGCTCAGAGATCTTGCCGCGAGGTGCGAGGTGCAGTCGCGGGTTCGAGTTCGGCGATAAAGTCTTCACATGAGTGAGCTTGGCGATAGAGTGAGCGAAGGGCTGTGATCGGGGACGGAGCTCGGCGGAGGAAGGGTGGCTCACTAGAGGTTGCGATCGGGGACCGAGGTCAACGGTGGAAGGGTGGCTCGCTAGGTACTACGATCTGGGAGCCCGTCGGCAAACAGTCGCCGTGAATTTGCCCCTTTCATGAATTTGCCCTTTCGTCCTTTTTATTTATTTTTATATTTATTATTTATATTTAGTTTTTTTTTTCTTTTTATTCCACACCCAAAACTTAAATACACGTATAAACATAACTAGTACGTACCCCGTGCGATGTACGGAGACAGAAAAATTAAATGAGTTACTTTTACAGACTCTGTCCGTTTAAGTATAAAAAGCAACACTTCCGTTTAATTCTAAAAAGCAACAGTTTAGTTATCCTCAATTTTTCACCTCCTACGAGAGTGAGAGATGTTAAATGAGTTATTTTTACAGGATCTTTCGTGTGTAAAAGGTTATCATCTATTTTCTACCTTCTTTAATCAGTGTTAAGTCTAAAAAATAATAGAGTTATAATCTATTTTCCAACTCTTTTAATCAGCGTTGTTTTTTTAACCAGAACATTAAACAAAAGCATGTTAGTGTTAGCTTGTAAAATAATTAATATATTATCTCCCTAACACATTTATATTAAAATAAAGTTGATTTTAGTATATATATTTATTCCTTGATATAAGAGAAAGTAGCAGTTTTACTTATTCTTGTTCACCATATAATACTTAATTATTATTTTGTTATAAACTTTGTTTTCACCATATAATACTTAATTATTATTTTGTTATAAACTTTGTTATCATGTAATGTCATTATTATTTAGAAACGTTATAGAAATTGTACGTCTTTTTTTTATGTAATGAAAAATATTTAGTGCACGTTAGTATTGTTTATTTATGTAATCAATTTAAAATATGTAAATAAATTAAAAAATAAATAGTGCATAAATATTTTAAAAAATATACACACATGTTTTTTTTTAATTTCATTTTTTATACTAATTAAACATCTTTAGTTTAGCAAATATAAAAACCTCAAGCACTTCTATAATCTAGTTCTTTTTTTCTTCATTTGCACTATAAGGATTGGTAGTTTATTTACCATACTCTGTAAAGAAAATATATTTTACAGGAATTTCATTACAGAAAGAAATCAAAATAAAAAAGATGATAAAAATAAATTAATCATGGTTGTCAATAATATACAAATAAATTCTAAGGAACATCTAATATATTCTAGTTTTAATTTTTAACTATTAGTAAAATTATTTAATACATATGGTCATTATCTATTAAATTGTAAATTATATTAACTTAAAGAATAATTTATTTTTTCATATATAACAAAATGAAATGTAAGAAAAAATTATATTGGAAAAGATTAATCCACCAAATTGATTTCGCCTGACTAATTGGAAGAAAAAATTCTACCTAACCTGTCCCGATTTTTTATAAATATTTTCGGATAAAAAGTGAATATTTGTGAGAAAAAAAAAATGAATATTGTGGTTAGAACTTAAAATATGTTGTAATATTTATCGTGACCAAAATATTACCAACATGAATCCCAAAAAATCAATCTTGTAATTTATTATATCGGATATCAATGAAATTATTGCATATATTAACAAAATTATTTAAGGAAATAATATTTTTTATCATATCTGATTTGATCTTATTTGAAAACGTACATATAGAAGCAATTAATGCATATTTAAAAAGTTTCCAACAAAAGCATACATTAAATGATTCCAAAATTTTTTATAACTATTCTTAGTAAATAGTTATTCTTATTATATAGATATAGATATAGATTAAAGCAAACGTGTGACATCAATTTCACCCAATTTTGATTTTGGAATTTCTAAACTTGCGTAAAGTTGGTTTTTTTTTTCTTTTTTTTTTTAAAGAAAACCTAAGGTTTGGGATGTATATGCCCACACAGATATTTTTTATGATAAAACCGGAGAAAAAAGAAAAATTAGTACATAAAAATGGATATCAATGCCAAACTTGGAGAAAGCACTTGCCGATGGAGATGCGGTCGTTTTCCGGTGACCAAACAATTGATGTTTCTTTTCTCTAGCGCAAAACTTTGACCTAAAAAATCGGTCAACCGTAATAATAGAAGATATTTAATCCCCGCTGGAAGGTATCGAATTGGTTCAAGGCGGAGGCTATTTTCGTGCGCTATTGAGAACAGAAAGAAATTCTTACTCACACAATTCGAATTTGTGTGAAAAATAAAGGAAAATATTGATAAGGAAAAATAAAATAAGAAAAAAAATTCTCTCTCTCTTCAAATCGCTCCCAAATTCTCTCTCGCGTAACCTAGCCTCCGTCGCCGGCAAATTGAGCCTCTCTCGGCAGCCATCCGGCTAGCCGGTAGACAGGTCACCGCCGAGCGTCCACGCCGCTTGTAGCGGCACTTCCACCTCTCTCTCTCTCTCGTCGTGGGGTGAGGTTGCAGAGCTATGGAGGATTTAGTCGAAATTCGCCGTTCTGTGATTTTTGGCCGCCGAAGCTTCGGGGTGGAGAGGCTAGGTGGAGTGTGGTACCAGTGGCTGGATGCGGCTTGGTTGGTTGTGTTGTTGCTGTTCAGTCTCCCCCTTCCAGCTTTGGATGGGCGATTGGATTCGAGCTTTGGTAGGAGCATCTCCTTCTGCCGGGCTGGTTGGTCATCCTGGTTGCGGGTCTTCGGTTTTGGCCGGAGTCCGGTCTCTGGTTCCTCGGCTGTGCTGGGGTGTTGGGTCGGGATTTATCCTTGTGGGCTGGGCAGATAGGTGGTTGATTCGGGCAGAGTTTGTTCCTGTGGGCAGGGTCGGAGCGACCAAGCTCTGATGTCGTTCGTCCCCTTCCTCCTCTTTCTCGGCTTCTGAGTTTTTGGGAGGCCGTTTGTTTCTGGAGTTGGCTAGTGATGTTAGGCAATTTCGGGACGATATCGGATTGGCTAGTGGTGTTAGTCGGTTGAGGGGCGATTGTGATTTCTTGCGGTTGGTGTGCGGGTCGGTTTCTTTGGTTTGTTCTGAGACTATGGTCTTCGTCTTGCTAGGCCTTCTGCAGTGGCGGGCGTGGTACTAGAGCTTTGGAGCTATCCTCGGAGCTGGCTTTGTCTGCTGTCTTCTTCGAACGTTTCTGTTGAGGGAGACTTCTTGTTTAGGTTTATGTTTTTATGTGTAGTTTTTGTTAAATGTGTGTTGCGTTGTTTTGGTCTTGTTTGTATTGTCAGTGTTTTAGGTTTGGGCCGTTAGCCTCGGTTAGCCCGAGTGTGCCTTTATTATCCTTTTGGGACCGTACACTCGGGCATTACCCTGTTGGGGTCGTTTTTGTTTTGTTTGTTTGTTTGTTTTTTATTCTCCCCTTGGGAGTTTTTAGGGTCGTCGTGTTTAGTTTGTGTGTCCTGAGTATTTCCCAGTTGGGGTAGGTTCTAGGCGGGTTTCGGCCCTGTCCTCCCAGTTTATTCCGCTGTTGGTTGTTTGTATTCAGCTGTTGGCTCTCTATATTCAGCTCGTGGTTGTACTTTTGCATATTTGTGCAGTTTTTATATAAAATTTCTATTGTTCCGAAAAAAAAAAAGATAAGGAAAAATAAAGGAAAATATTTTTCTGGGAGAAAACCCTTCTTCTCTTTTTGTTGGTCTGCTCCTTTCTGATAGAATTCTTCTACCCTTTTATGGTGTAGTACATTTGGTACTATTTCTATTATGTAGTACAAGTTACTATTCATTATGTAATAATGAGATCGTATCTCTAAGAATACAAGACATCAATCAATACATGGCAAGTGGTAGATAGGTAAATGTCTAGTCAACAATTATTTACTGTTGAACATCTTGGATTCTTGAGGTCAGGTCAACATATGAGGTCAAGTTGACATCTGAGTAATCAAGTTTGTATCTGAGTGGACAGGTCGGTTGGACAACATTTCATGTTAGTTTCTGAGGACCTGAATCTCATTTTTGAGGTCCTAGTCAGCTAGGCTGTCCTACAGGTCGGTTGGACAACACTTCAGGTTGGTTTCTAAGGACCTAACCATCATTTTAAGGTCCTAGTCAGCTCGATAACCCTCCAGGTCGGCTGGATAACACTTGACGTCTATTTTTGAGGACCTAACCCTCAATTGAAGGTCCTATTCAGCTGGACAACACTCTCGATCGGTATTTGAGGTCCTAACCCTCATTTTGAGGTCCATTTTGTTTGGAAAGCCCTCCAGGTCGGCTGGACAACACTCCAAGCCAGTATCTAAGGACCTGACTATCATTTTGAGGTTCTAGTCAGCTGGACAGCCCTCTAGGTCGGTTGGAAAGCACTTCAGGTCGATTTTTAAGGACTTAGCCCTCATTTTGAGGTCTTAGTCTGCTGGACAGCCTTCCAGGTCAGCTGGACAACACTTCAGGTCAGTTTCTGAGGGCCTCACCCTCATTTTGAGGTCCTAGTCAGCTGGACAGCCCTCTATGTCGGCTGGACAACACTCTAGGTCGGTATTTGAGGTCTTGACCCTCATTTTGAGGTCGTAGTTCGTTGGGCAGCCCTCCATGTCGACTGGACAATACTTCAAGTTGGTTTATGAGAACCTGACCCTCATTTTGGGTCCTAGTTAGTTGAATAGCCCTCTAAGTCAGCTAGAGAACACTCCAGGCTGGTATTTGAGGTCCTCGTCTGCTGAACAACCATCCAGGACAGCTGGACAACACATCAGGTCGGTTTCTAAGGACCTGCCCCTTATTTCGAGGCCCTAATCAGTTGGACAGCCCTCTAGGTTAGATGAACAACACTCCAGACCGGTATCTGAGGTCGTGACCTTCATTTTGAGGTCCTAATTCGTTGGACAGCCCTCCAGGTCGGCTCGTCAGCACTTCAGGTCAGTTTTTGAGAACCTGACCCTTATTTTGAGGTCCTAGTCTGTTGGACAGCCCTCTAGGTCAGCTGGACAACACTTCTGGCCGGTATCTGAGGTCGTAGTCTATTGAACAGTTCTCCAGGTCGACTGGATAGTACTTCAGGTCGGTTTTTTAGGACCACATCGGCGTCTGAAGTGAGCCAAGTCAGGTCGAAAATTTACTTGACAAAATTTGCTATGTATATGCCTATTTTTCGGGCCTTTTGAGTCTCATATTACTTTGCTGCGTGTCACTCTCTATCTAAGTATAGTATTTAAATTAAATAATTTATTATTATTATTATTATTATTATTATTATTATTATTATTATTATTATTATTATTATTATTATTATTCTTGTAAGTTTCGTGGATTAGAAGTAAATCGACAGCTCTGGAACAAACCTTCATCTGAATCTAGAATTGTGATGTCTGAAAATAAAAGGGAAGTTTGTTATTTTATTTTCTTAGAATTATTTATCCTGGACTTATCATTTTATATCGTTAACATGATGGATATCACTTGGAGCAGTGCGTGTGATCATAAGGAAGTATGTTGCTTACCATGTGAAGAACATCCCTATTTGTGGCAGCAGAACTTACCATGTATGAAGAAGAGTTGCTAGAGAGAAAAAGTATCCGGAGATGCTTGATTGCGGCATTCGTAAAATTGACACAATCAAGAAGACTTACCATATTTTGAAAAGATATAAAAAGATAGCATACGTGCTTGGAAACAGAGTTCGCTAAGTGAATCAATTTTTAAAAGAAAAGAGAGTCGAGAAGAAAAGCGAGGTGAACGGCTTGCAAGAATACACTTCTTGAATCTTTGTTTTAATTTAGTTTTTGTGAGGAGAGTCGAGAGGTTGTTCTCGATCTCTATGAGTAGGAGAGTTTGGTTAACTGAAACTTTTGTATAAATATTCAAGAGGCATACTTAGATTGAACTCAAGGGATTCGAGTTGTGAAAAACCACAAGGGAAAAAGTAGTGACGTGAGTGATTACAAGATAAATAGTGAAGATGGAGTCTTCAGTGTAAGTCCAATCTGTAATGACAGAAACATTCACGTAAATGAAAGAGTTTTGGATGGGGAGTGAGATGCTCCCCTGAAGGTTCATGTTTTGTAATACCGTGCTTCTGCAATTGTATGAACTTACTGTTATGTTTACTGGTTCATTTATTTAGCGCAATTCTTGTTATCCTCCATGATTTTTATTATTATTATTATTATTATTATTATTATTATTATTATTATTATTATTATTATTATTG